TGTTGTTGTTTGTTTGTTTTGTTTTGTTTTGTTTTGTTTTTCTCCGGTACCAGGAACCGAACTCATGACCTTGTGCTTGCCAGGCAGGTGCTTTTGCCGCTGAGCTAAATCCCCAGCCCCAACTAAATTAATATTGAAATGAATCAAAGATCTAAATATTAAGACAGAAACACTAAATATGATGGAAGGTAGAATAGGTAGAACTCTTGAAGATACTGGTGTAGGCAAAGTCTTCATGAACAAAACCCCAACTATGCAGAAACTATCACAAAGAAACAATAACTGGGATCTCATCTTATTGAAAAGTTTTGCACAGCAAAAGAAACCACCAATAGTGAAGAGAAAACCCACAGTATGGGAAAAAAATTTATCAAGTCTTCCTCAAAGGACTAATATCTAGAATATATAAAGAATTCCAAAAAATCATACCCTTCCAAATTTAAAAACCCAACCTGAAAACTGGCACTGAAATGAATAGACACTTCTCAGATGAAGAGGTAGAAATGGCAAACAAATATATAAAAAATGTACAGTATCATTGGTCATTTGAGAGATGAAAATTAAAGCAATACTGAGATTCCATCTCACTTCAGAAAGAATGGCTATTACCAAGAAATCAACCAATAACAAATGCTGGAGGCGCTGTAGGGGAAAAGGAACCCTTCTCCATTGTTAGAGTGTAGACTGGTGCAACCACTGTGGAAATCAATGTGGAGATTTCTCAAAAAACCAAAACTAGAAGTTCCATTTGACCCAGGTATTTTCCTTCTTGGTATCTTCCCAAAAGAATTAAAAGCATCGTACCACAGCGAAACATGCACATCCATATTTATAGTTTGTAATAGCTAGATCTTGGAAACAGCCCAGATGCCCATCAACTGATGAATGGGTAAAGAAGATGTGGTTTTTAATACAATGGAGTACTACTCAGCTATAAAGAAGGGTGAATTTGAGACATTTCTAGCCAACTGGATGCACCTTGAGACTGTATTCATAAGAATTAAATCAGACACGCATTTGAATACTGCATTGTTTCTCTGGTGTGAGAAACCAAAATGTAACTAAGGACCAAAATACATAATAGATCTTGGGAAATGGGAAGCAAATGTTCAAACAGAAAGGGGAGCAAGGGAGGGGGAGGGAAAAGAAGAAAGGGATAAGAAAAAAAAAGAATAGAAGGAAAACCATGGAAACAAAGCTTTTGTAAATAAGGAGCGGAAGAGGAGTTGAAGGGTCAGTATGAGAATGGGGGAAAAAAGAAGCAAGATATATTATGTGTGGGTACAAGTTCCCAGTGATGAATTTAATCATTATCTATACCTAAATTGTACCAGTAAATTTTTTAAAATGAGAAGTATTTTGAGGGTGATTAATGGCAATGTGCCTTTTCTTTTCTTTTTTTTTTTTTTTCCGTTTGGTCCCGGGAATCAAACTCAGGACCTCGTGCCAGAAAGACAGGCGCTGTGCTGCTGAGCTACATCCCTGGGAATGTGTCTTCTACTGTAGCACATTTTTAAAATCTAAACATCCACTGTTTTGGTCGTTCACTTCATGTATATGCTTCTGTTAGTCTGTTT